GTCTCTCTATAATGTGCCTCCTGTTCATAGCCCATACCACATTTTTTTCCTTTCTGATACGCGTCACTCATGCCGGGAATCTGAAAATGAAGAAAGCAACAACACCATTTTCTCTGCAAAGCAAAAATGCCACCATTGTGTATTATACTCAAATGCTCTTCTTATTTATTTGAATTAAAAATATATTTTATTTATTTTGATTTTGCCCTCAGATATTTTGTTATAAATATTTTCATATTATATGTGTAAAAAAATAAAAAAAGCCGTTTACGTGGGGCCCGCAAGGTCACGTGTAACTTCTGTTTACCTATAATCTATTTGGGACGTGTAGATCATTCAGGCACGATGTCATGCGGGACATTATCGAGTACTTTGAAATTCCGAGCATTTAATTAGAGAAGCTAGTTCACGGGTCAATTTTTTTCATATCAAAATTACTAGCAAGAATTATAGTTGTATAAAATATAGTTCACGGGTCAAATTTGCTTTTTATAATTTCTTTCTTCTTAAAATTCTTTTCTTTTTAAAATTTATTATATATATAGTTCACGGGTAAAATTTCGTTCAATGTTGTATTCAGCGTTGTTGCTTTATCTCATATTTTTGCTAACGTTACACGTCGTGACCCATCATTGCATTTGGTAAAGTGTGCACATTTTTTTTGGGTTTCTTTTATTATGTGCAGAGAGTGGCAGGTTGGTAAAAAAGAAGGTGTAAAAAAGAGGGAGTGAAGGTGTATTAAAGAGGGAGCGTGTTAGGTAAAATTATATTTTTATATAAAATCAGATTTCATCATTTTTGGTGTGAGTTTTATTACCATATTACTGTTTTTTTAGAATTGTAACAAACAAGAACATCACTACCATATTGTTTTACTAGTACAACACCCGTGTATTACACGAGTACTTGTTAAAAAATTATTTTTAAATTTTAAAATTAATAAAAAAACTATATTAAATTTAGTTTATTATTTTTTTTTTAAAAAAATATATTACTATATATTTTAGAATGATATTTGTTATTATGACCTACATGTGTTATATTATATTAGTTTTTATAACTTATATCATATAACTACTTGAAATATAAATTTTGTAGTTGAGTAAATAATTTTATTTTTATGATTAATATTAAAAATAATTTTATTATTGTTATAAGGATAAATATGATCATAAAAAAAAAATCAACATATTTATGGTAATCCGAACCTAATTATTTTTGGTTTGGAATTAAATTAAAATTTATCCAAGCCTAATAACGAAGCATGCAATTTTGCCACATAGGATTCTGAAGCACCAGAAGCAGCTACATAGGCTCAGCGCGTTCTGGATTAATCTATAGGAGTTAAAAAAATGAAAAAAATAAATAAAGAAAAAATAAAGCGGAATAGGATACATGTAATTCCATTATTATGAGAAGTGAGGGGGAAAAAAATGTGTAAAAACAAAACTTGACATGACTAGGCATGGGGCAAAATTTTGAAAATGAAAAAGGAAGAAATGAGTTGTAACAAAACCACCTGTTTTATAGAACATCCATTGGGTGTTTTCGACATACACGCAAAAACCATCTATCTTGACGAGGACAATCGGGAGGAAGCACTTGAGGTACGTAAATAGAACCAGAATTTCTTTTTGGTTTATCTTTTTCCTTTTTTTTTTTAATTATATAAATATGTTGTATTACAAACATTGTCTTAACTCCATTTGTTTATGTAATACTATGGTAATATTACATTAATGACTGTTTAATTGGAGAACATATTATCTCAGACTTGGGCACTAGCATACCATTATTGTAGCAACAATCCCGAGCCGCTATGGGAAACATTGAAGATAATTTTCGAACCGGTAAAGCTTGACCCATATCCTGGTGAACTGAGGGCGATAGTTGAAAGAAACCATCGCAAACTTGACCAAGTTGGTCGTGACTACTGGGCCGAAGAAAAACGTGTTGCAGCCCAAAGAAGGAGAAGAAATTGAGTTTGCCGTCGAGTATGTACTTTTGAAATTGTGGCAATTGTTGTGCTATATATATTTCAAACTATTTATTAAAATAAATGTCATTTCTTTCATTGTGGAATAATTTGTAATCTCCGTTCATGTGTACTGCTATTTCATATTTCAAATAAAATGAAATTATCGAATTTTTGGGTTTCTCGCAACAAATATATAATATTGGATAGAAATTATTGTTATTGATCATATTACTACTAAAATGGAAGAATCATTGATACGGCCAACTTTTGTTTTTCTTTCTTTTTTTTTTTTNNTTTTTTTTTTTTTTTTGGTTTATCTTGATTTATATATATTTTTTTTTTGAACCATACTAAAATTGAAGAAAAACGTCTACTGAAATATATATCTTCACTAGAAATAATATGGTGATATGTAAAAAGAAAGACAAAAAAAGATTGCCAAAGTTGGAAAAAAATGCTTTGTAGTGGGAACCGACAAGAATTCACATGCAACCATCTCTCCATAATGTGGCATGTGTTTTCCCTATCTGACACCCGTCACTCATGTCCGGAATTTATCAATGAAGAAAACCACACCACTTTTACGAGTAAAATGACTTCATAATGTTTTTACGAGTAAAAATTGATATTACGAGTAAAAATTGTTATTACGAGTAAAAATTATTTTATTATAAAATAAACTAGGTTCAGAAATTTTTTTGAAATAAAATAGTTTTCATACTAAAATAATATATATTTAGTTTTCAAACTAAATAAGTATACGAAATTACGAACGTAAAAAATTACGAAGAACACAACAATATTTAAATTAAACCCGATAGTACTACACGCGCAAATATGTTTTTGGGTTTCATTAATACAAACGATGTTCTATCTTCGGTTCGCCCACATGGCTTGGGCTATCGTGTCACGCAACACACAATGCTCACCAACGCTGGGGTTCACGTTCCCATCATTGGACATGAAAGGAAAAGTACGATCCCGAGGATCATGTCGCCGTACGTACTCTGCGTTTATGAATTCAGGGGACATGTTTTCTAGCGGTTCATGCATCCGAATAAAATTGTGTAGAACACAACAAGCTATTACAATGTCGGTTTGCGAGTGAACTTTGTAATTTGGCATCAACCCCTTTATGATGGGAAACTTCCCTTTTAGCAAACCGAAGCTGCGTTCGATAACGTTACGGACAGTGGCATGTCTTCTGTTAAACAACTCACGAGCATTGTCGGGCAACTGGTTAGACCCCAACCACTCTGGAAGATGATATCTTTCACCACGATATGGCGTCATGAAACCTGGGATGTTTGCGTATCCGGAGTCCACCACATAGAATTTACATGCATGGACATATGTTGTGAAGTTACGAGCACTCTAGAAAAAATTGATAAAATAAATTATGATTTTATTACGTAATAATACAAATATATGAAAAGTGTACTGATTGAATTACCGGGTGGTGGAAAGGGAAAATTATATCTGGGGTCTGCCATAGTTTGATTAAAAATACGTGCGTCGTTTGCGCTGCCTTCCCAGCCCGCTAGGACAAAAGTGTACTTCAAGTCAAAATCACACGCCAACATCACATTTTTTGCTAAATAACCTTTCCTACATCTGTACGAACCTTGATGTCCTTCGGGCACCCACGC